ATAAAGAAAGTAATACCTTTTTATTTAATAGCGATCCATTTTGCAAAGTTACGAATCGCTTTATCGATAAAGCGCTTTATCGTAAGAATTTACTACCTCCTCTTTCTTTTGCTACTTCGACTTACGGCCGAATCACCGGTAAAGCAGACTTTATACAAGTCTTTGCTCGATTAAGACGGATCTTATACAAAGATGCCATTGCTTAGCGGTCTTAGCTTAAACGCTTATTCGAATTCTCTTAAATAACTAAGCTTTAATTGCAAAAGAATATCCGTAACAGCTAAACTAAGCACCGTCGACGCAATACGCTTTCCGCACTCAAAGCGCTTTCGATTTAAAAACGTTTCTGCTCTATTCTTATCATCGGCTTTATTTCGACTCTCTTTACAGCCGTGTTCTACGGTGTTTTCTAGTTCTAACATCTCCTTTTCGATTGGTTTACTCGTAAGGATCGGCGTACCTTGCGAACCACAATCGGAGGTGATTCGGAACCTTTTTCGACGGAAATCGGCCTTGCTTCGACGTTTAGCTAGCTATTCTTTAAATACTTTTATTATTATTCGCTAACTTTTAAAGTCATTGTTAGTATACTCAGACAGTCTTTAATCATTAATGCGCGAGCTACACTCGATATAAATGCGGAGGTCAGCGTTATCACTTATAACGCCGCGGTTAAATTCAAAGTTCTTATAGCTTACGATTAAAAGATAAGCTTTCGAACAATCACCGGTTCATTATCGCGCTTTATCGGATACGCTAACAATATGTCTGTTAATATCGAAGGTGCTACGATTCGTACTCGATTCTACGTTATAAATTCGCTAAGGTTTCGACTTATATTCGGTTACTTTTTTATACGTAAAGCGAGAATCGGTCTCCGATACCTTTCGGACTATAAAGGTAGTCCTATTATTGCAATAGTTACTAATCCTTTTACGAGCTAAGTTACTTAAGCTAAAATAAGCGATAAAACGAATCAATACGACGAAGCCGTCGATCGCTTAAAAGAGCAAAGTATAAGCTTTATTTACTACGATGAATCTTCGAGTAGCAGCGGCAGCGACTCAGAAAACTAATAACCGGCTTCGTTAAAAGCGCCGAAGTCGGTACATTAAAAGCTTCTTGCTTTTCGCTTAGTTTCGAAAGCGAAACGTTGCAACATCGAAAAAAAGACGACTCTATTACTTAAAAGCAGTTTATCGATGTTCTTGCTTTTACGGAATGCGATCCTTTAACAATTTGCTAAATAGATGCTATTAGCACCGATAACCTTATAACCCGTTATTACGATCATATCGATTATTAGAATTCGACACTTTATTAAACTCGAAAAGAGATCTTTTCGAACTCGGCTAAAGTATTCGGCATATATAAAACCAAAGAAAAAAAGATCAAGCTAATTAATAAAGCAGACGGCGTAAAAGCAGCACTAAGTAGCAAAGTTGATTAGTACGAGCTATCGAAAGCTAAAGATACGCTATAAAAGCAAGTAAAAGAATATAAGCAATACTTCTTTCCGCGCATTACCGATATACTAAAAAGCTTTCGAATCACACTCGAACGCATAGCGAACTTAGATATCGATAATACACTACGGCTTAAAAAAAGGAATTTGTTTAAGGAAATGATGCTAAGCAAAGAAAAATCGATCGTATTCGCTTAACAAAAGTGCGGTAAGTTTTACGACGACGTATCACTATCGATTAAGCTTAAAACTATCTTATATACGGTTTAGCAAGCTCCGAACTACTCGTGTCCGAAGGCTTTATAGCTTATTATTATTAAAATGCTCTAAGACAAGCTTAATAAAAGAGTTTTAAAGTACTGCGAAAGACCGTACCGGAATCAATAGTTCTTAATAATTAAAAAGCAGCCGGGCCAATACCGATTTATCAACTTAGCAACTCTACTTAATGTAATTACACGAAAGGACGCTAATCTACTTTTAACTATAAATAAGTTTGCTAAAGAGTTTTCTAGTTGTTAAATAGCTAGCTTAATCGACTTTTATTCGAGTTATAATCAACAAACACTTTATTAATCGAGTAAAGACTTTACCGCTTTCTTTACACCGCTAAGTCTTTTCCGATGCATTACCTTTTCGCAAAGTGTTATAAACTCGATAACTTAATTCGTTCGAACAATCAATCTCATCTTAAGTCTTTTGCAACTTAAAGTCTTTATGCTATTTATCGACGATATTAAAGTAAAAAGACTATAAACGGACTATTCCGACGAAAAAGTACTCTTAAGTATACGCCGATTCGTGCTCGAACATATTTAAAACATCGATAAAACTTTAGAACGGATTGAGCGCGCTAATGTTATAATCGAAGAAAAATCACAGTTCTGTTAAGATAGTATAAATATAATAAGATTCGTATGCAATTCGAAAGGTCGAGAACCCGCCGCGGATAAGATTATTAAAATCAATAACTAAAAAACTTTCGAAAACGTTATTAAAGTTAAAGGATTTCTAAGCTTTTGCTTTTACTTTCGCATTTAAATCAAAAGATTCGCACACATTGCTGACCTTCTTTACAACTTTATAAAAAAAAATATAAATTAATAATGGACCGAAACGCATTCGAAAGCTATACGAATGCTACAAGATGCTTTAACGACGGCTCCGGTTTTGATCAAGATCGACTACGAAGACTAGAATAAAGAAATAGTAATAAGAACGAACGCTAGCTTAAAAAGATAAAAAAGATATATCGGCTAACGCGAGACTACTTTTAATAAAGTGCAACCGGCTCGGTACGAATCCGAAGCTTAAACGGAGGCAAAACAAAACTACGACGCTATTAAACGAGAGTGCCGCGAAGTACTTAAAGTCTTTAAAAAACTCAAGCTATAGATTATCGAAGTGCACTTTATCTTCGAGACTAACGTTAAAGTGCTCGTTGCTTAGCTTCGACGAAGAGCTATCGATATATCTTCAGCTTTAATTACACGCTAACTAGCTTAAATCAATCTTTTCGATTTTAAGGTCCGATATATCCTCGATAAGGATCACACCGCTACCGATGCACTATCGAGACGGCTATAGCACCTCGATGATTCAAGCGAAAAAGATAAGAATAAGTTCGATAATAGCTTGCTAGCCGACTTAAGACTTATTAAAGCTCGAAACGGCTTCGAAAAACTTTCGACGGACCTTTTAATAGATATTCGTTAATCTATTCTTAAAGACATATTCTAACGCTTAAAAGAAGCGGAGAATGCAAACTTAAACGAGTTTAACGACGACCACGATTACGAAAGTCTTTTAAACTTAATCGAATACTCTTCGAAATCAATTCGAATAGTTACTTTCTTAACGACCTTGCGAAGACTTAAGGACTTGAACAAGGTAGAATACCGTAAGTTTAAAAGGAAAGCTATTAAATACGAAGTAAACGATAAGAAACTTTAAAGACTCTCGACGAAAGGTCTTCTTTTTCGATTAATAATCGATAAACCTTCGATTAAGACGGATATCATCACGGCTTATCACGATAAAAGTAATTATAAAAGCCGTGAATCAACTTACTACCGTGTATCTTAACGCTACTTTTAGAATAAATACTACACGGACGTTAAACGATTCGTTAAGACTTGTAAAGAATACTAGCACCGAGCAGCTAATAAGCTCGAAGAACTACTGCATCTTACCCGATCTAATAGCTTAATAGAACGCTAAGCTATCGATATCACTTATCTACTTGCACGTAATAGCAAAAGCTATTTAGTTGTTGCTAAAGATGATATAAATAAATAGGTCGAAGCAAGGGCGATTCGGACCCGAAACTCGCTCTCGATAGCTAAGTTTATTTAAAAAGATATCATTTGCCGCTATAAGATTTTCTTTTAGCTGACAATCGATAAAGGTTCGGAGTTTAAGAAAAAAGTAATCGACTTACTTAACAATTAAAAAATCAATCGAGTCGTGGTCTTAGCATACTACTTTTAAGCGAATAGAATAGTAAAACGCGGCTACGGACCAATTAAGGACGCATTAAGTAAGCTTAAAAGCACCGATTGGATTGCGCAATTGCTAGCCGTCTTATTCGCCGACCGCACTTTAATGTATATTCTTATCGGATTCACCCTTTTTTATATAATATATAATAAAGAAGTAATGCTCTCGATTAAGACTCGAATCTAGTCTTAAGCTACGTTATTTCAAGAGCTAATAACTAATCGTACTAAGCTTATCGAGTTGAAAGCACGCTAGTTCCGGATACGAGACGAAGATGCTACGAAAGCTATACTTAAGAAAACCCGCTGCCGTTAAAAAGGAAAAGATGCTTTTGATAATAAGAAGAACCTCCGAATCAAACCTTTAGAAGTAAGTGACTTAGTCTTTAAGCACGACTCGGTACGTAAAATAGATATGTTCAACGTTAAGAAACTAGATTTTCGATAGCTTAGCCTTTATTAAATTTCGTCGGTAAATATAAAAGAATATTACAAGTTGAAAAAGCTAAGAGAAGACGGAGCCTTATTAAATAAAACATTTGCTAGCAGTCGATTAAAGAAGTTCTACGTGCGATATACCTTCGAAGCGTTACTACTTCGCTTTAAGCCTTAGACAAAGAAATCCTTAGAACAGCCTTTACTAGATAAAGTAGCCGAGTCCGGCCCTTAGATCAAGCGCTTAAATAGATTTGTCATTCGATTACTTAGCCTTACGGAAAAGCAACGAAGCTAATACGCAAGAGTCTTTGTGAGCAGTAATAAAGAAGCAATAGAAAGTGATTAAGTTATGAAGGCATGACTATACGTAAAAGAAGGACGAGTTTAGATTTGATTTTTTGATTTTTTCTTTATTTAAGTTTGGTTTTCTTTGTTTTCCTTCTTTTTACATTCTTTTTATTTCCTTTTTTATATTAAAGAGCTTTACGTCATCACACTTATATGCTTTCGACCTATTATATACGAGCATATCATACATATAAAGCGGACCTTATTCGAAAGCTGATCAAAAAGAGCATACGAAAAATCTATTGCATTAATTACTTAGCAAGCTGCCGACTCGCGATAAAAACCCTTCCGACCTCACAACTCAAGGCTAAATAAAATAGTACGAGAGCTCTTCGCAGCACTTTAAGCATTGCTCTTATTCTTCGAAGTCCTACCGATGTTGCCACGACTCGAACTTTTCGTAAAACTACGAGTATTGCTACGGCTAGAACCTCGCGAAAAAGAACTACCGGTATTGCCGCGATTAAAAGCTTAACGAACACTTCGGCGAAGCCTTTTCGCGGTAAGAAGTGCTAGCGATTCCGAAGATAAAAATAAAAAAGACGAGGACTTTTCGGCAATCTATCGTAATTAGATTAAAAAGGAATCACAAAAGGTTCGTAACATACACTTACGCGGCTAAGAAAGTTACTTAGCAAAGTATTGTTTCGATCTACTATAGCTAAGATCTGACGCAGCAAGTCTAACGAAGCTAGATCGGCGGTAGCAGCGGCGGCAAGTAAGCGTAACGCTAAGACGGGACCTAAGCTAGCTAAAAGACCTTTAGCATTAGCGGCGGCAAAGGAAGCAGCGGCGATACGAGTTCGAAAAAAAGAAGAAGCATTACTAACACGAAAAGCAAGAGCACGGCGAGTCTTTATTAAAAGGTTATTTGCAACTATGCCTTTACGAAAAACGTCGTCGGCCGTCTTAGTTCTATTATTTATAGCTATTATCGCATCTATTAAGATTATGCTAGCATTAACGACTTCTGCGAAGAGCTATCGAATCGGAGTCAGAACGAGTATAAGACGAAAAGTAAGATAACTTACGAAGATGCAAGTTGACTTAATAGCATAGCAACGCTCGTATTTAATAGATTTGTCGGCGAAGAAAATGCACCGACTCGCAGCATTATCGATAGTTCTGCTTGCGTAGCTTACGCATCGAGAGCAAATCGATAACATAATAGTAAAAGATAAAGTTAATAAGTAATGATGCTAAAAAGAAGATAGAAAAGTGTAAAGTTGATATAAAAAGAAAGTATTATTTATAACAAAACCTCGAGTATATATTACCGCTTTTGTTTTCTTTGTTACGTTACCGCCTTAAGCCTCGCGCTATTACCGATTCGGTAATGCGTCACCACTTGACCGCCTAAACCGGCGCACGCTTATTTTAACGATAATACTAACGCTCGAGTTGATATTGTTCTTATAATTAAATAAGTAAGCTACAAAAGATATAAAGAAGAGTTAGACTTAAAAGATTATCTTGCATTTTCGTTGCTATTCTTATTTTCTTTGTTATATTACATACGCTTCGTACTAACACCGATCCGGCGATGCATCATTGAGTAGTACTTTAAGACTATATTGCGACCGTGCAATTCGGCTATATGCTCGTCTTGCAAACCTAACCTTATCACCTTGATAAGAGGTGACTCGAAGGCGAGTCTGATTCGAAAAAAAGACGTATATAATAAAGTTAAAGCTTTGTATTTGTTTTGTCTATATATATAATACTAATGCTAAGCACCTTTATTACGTAGGTGCGCTGCATGCTTTAGCCTTGCTAAGCACGTGGTTAGGTCACGTGCAAGCTTTTATATAAACGAGTAGTTAATTCTTCTTTGAACTAGCACCACTTCATCACTACACAATACAATACACGTACTCATAGCACACATTCGAGTGTCTTTCGATCGTCTTCCTTCTCCTTCTTTATTCACCTACGATTCTACTATGGCTATATTCATATATATCTCTTGATTTGACGTTAGGTATATGTCGGAGCTCTTCCCTTCCACAATATAAATATAAATAAATAATAAAAATGAAATAAGTATAATTTATAATAAATATTAAATATACCAGGGCAAAGGACCAAGTTCTTTGTAATGTCACCAACGGGCTAATTACTCGATTATAAAGATCTTTATATATTTAAGTAAATTATAAAATAAATAACAATAAAAATTAAATAAATATAAAGGTAAAAATATAAGAAATAATTTACTTAATAATTTATTACAAAAAAAAACCTTTTAAAAACTTCTTTTTTTG